CCCTTATAACTCAGATGTGTGATGTATTTTCTTGCTTCAGTTATTTTCTGCTGGTTCTCAGAATTCATACATGCATCTCAACTCGTAAGATGTTTTCCCCTCTCACCTATTTGTTGGATTCTTGCAGATTCTCTCAGTCTATGCTTCATGTTTACTCTCAAGTGCCCTGACTTTAAGCTTCCTTCTGTGTGACCTGTGGCGGGATTTCATTCCTCATTTCGAGTGTTCCTATTCCTTGAGTCTCTTCTCCCAACTTGGGGATTTTCTTCTATTCATACTTTGACTCTCTTTTATCCTCAATCTGCTCTTTTTTGTTGTTGAGTTTACTATCCTTTTTACCCTTTCCTTCTGAGACTTTGCACCACTACCATGACAGTTTTACTGGGATAAGGTTACACTAATCTGTTCTTCATAATGTCCATTTTCTTCTTCAGCTATTACTCAGTTTACTTTCTTTGATTTTGAGATTTGATTTATTGGGATACTTTTTTGTTTCTGGAGTTAGACCTTCTGTTTTCTCTCAGGGATCTCAATTTGGCACCACTTCTTTATGCAGATATTTTTGGGAATTCCTTGTCTTGGGGCCCCTTCTAAGAGGCCAGCTATCTTGGGGTCTCTGCAATAAGTTGTTTCTGGAACCACTCCTGAGTAGTTTTGGTCCTGTGAGAGATGATCCTTAGATCCCACAGGATTTCTCCTAGCTGTTATCGTTGTCATTCAAGATTTACAGGGCTATCTGTTTTCAGTTAAGTTCTGAGAGAATTCACATGGAGACCACTCACTGGTTCCACATTTCCATAACTATCTGGACATTTGGCAACTTCTATCCCCATCATGAGAGGCATAATCTGCTAGGATGCCTTTCTACTTTGGGAGTCTACTGTTTTGGGTTGACTGGTCAGGATCTTAAGTCAGTGACTCTCATTCAGTGTTTGATTCATTCGGGAGTCTTCTGTTTTGGGTTGACTGGTCAGGATCTTAAGTCAGTGACTCCCATTCCGTGTTTGATTCATTCGGGAGTCTTCTGTTTTGGGTTGACTGGTCAGATTCTTAAGTCAGTGACTCTCATTCAGTGTTTGATTCATTTCGGGAGTCTTCTGTTTTGGGTTGACTGGTCAGATCTTAAGTCAGTGACTCCCATTCAGTGTTTGATTCATTTGGGAGTCTTCTGTTTTGGGTTGACTGGTCAGGATCTTAAGTCAGTGACTCCCATTCAGTGTTTGATTCATTTGGGAGTCTTCTGTTTTGGGTTGACTGGTCAGGGTCTTAAGTCAGTGACTCCCATTCAGTGTTTGATTCATTTGGGAGTTTTGATCACCTTATATGATGGGTGAGCTTGACCTTTACCAAGATATAGAAATTCAGGTTTCTAAAGCTTTTATGTTTTCTTTTCTTCTTGTGCATGACATTCTGTGTCTTCTGAGACCTTTTGCTTCTTCTGTGCCCCTGCAGTGGATTCTGACAGATTAGTGGAATATACCTTGTGATCCACTGCCTTCTCTATTATTTCTATTTCTGTCTCTTCACTCTTGCTCTCATGGTTGTTCAAAAGTTTTCATATGACCCTGAGCTTCTGTCTTTCTCCACCTGGACTTACACCCATTCATGGATACTTCTCTAGTCATGTGTGGCATTTGTTCTGGACAACTTTACTTTTTCAGTGTTTGGTATTTCTTCCTTGGAACAATCTTTCCAAATTAATCCAGAACTATTTTTTTAGAAAATGAAATTTTTTGTGTGTGTTTAGCTTTAGAGACATCATATAAACATGAAAACATTATCTGGTAAAAAATAAATTGTAGTAATCCTCTAAAGCAGTAAACAGGGAACTGAGTACAAAACAATGATGCCAAGTCAGTTATGCAAATATTAACAAATTGCAGTGGTTGATAAAGTTATAAATAAATCTCAATTTGCCTACACTTGTAAAAGAAACAATTCAATCTCAGCATAATCTGAAAAGTTTCAAAATTCACTTAAAAGTTTTTAATGTATAATTACACACGCCTGCAAATTTAAACTTCATAAAAATTGTTTTGGTCTTAATAACAGATTTTCCATAATTCATCTACACAGATTTGAAAAATAATACTTATTGTTTTTCTATCAAGTAAGAATTTTTAACAAATCGGGAAGAAAAAAAACACTCTTACTTAAATCAAGTTATTATTTTGTTTACCACAATGAAAATTTGTTTATTATTATGTTTGTTAATAAAACTACAAACAAACTGAAGAAAAGGGAAGAATGGGCAAGTTTCAATTACACAGGTTTTATTGTCTTGAAATGTTTACATGTTCTACAGTATTTCCTGTACGCTGAATCCAAAAATAATATTTACTTTTCTCCATCACGTAGAGATTTTTCACAAAACATCATAATGTAATACATAAAAGAAAGATCACAACATGTAGTTTTGAGACTAAAAGATGTAATTTCACCAAAAATATTCAGGATGAATGAGGATGATCCTAAAATTGAGAAGTTGGCCCTTATTGGGTTAATATCCTTGAGATGTGGGCAGTTTAACTCTCTCAACAGTTAATACTTCTAACTTTCAATATAGTGTGTATATCTTAACGAAATTTGGTAGTCTTTCAATTAACATTATAAGTCTTTCACATACAAAAAATCTTAATTTTTAGTCAAGTATTCTTAATAAACTAAAATAAATATTTGTCCATGAATATATTGAGTATTTGTTTTAAATATATAGTGTGCAAAGTAATTTTCATGTTAAGATTAAAAATACTTTTCTTCATCTCAAAAACCTCAAATTTTCTTTGTGCAATCCCTAAAATCTAAATACATTTCAAACGTTTTTTTCAGTAAAATGTTTTATTTTATCTGTTATTTTCTCTACTCTATCTCTATAT